AATGTTTTTTTTTTTTTTTAATAAACGAAAAGAAGTTTTTATTAATGAAAGCATCGCGAAAAAAAGTCACTCGATTTTTCTAGCTTATTATGCCCTTATTTATAACCTAGTAGCAATTAAAAAGTTACAGCGCAGTAGAATTCTATAGTTTATTCATTAGTTTGCAGAACAACGCGGATTATTTTTTCACATTTCGAAACCTTTTCATTCATACACTTTTTTTTTTGTTTATTTCCGAATAGTATTATGCTGAATTCATATACTTATCAAAATCATCGCTTATCGTTTGTCCTTCATGGCATACAAAACAACCTGCAGTGTAACTTGCAGGGGTGGGTTTTGTTTATTGCACTATTATTCAAAGTGAGAAGGCCTCGCATTTGGCAGCTGTTCAAACACGTTGTTTCTGTTTATTTGGCTGGGAATTTCATTTTTCTTTGTTTAGTTGCTTTATACTGTGATATATTATAAAATCTTGCTCATTACATTTCGGTGCTAATGAAGTCCACATTTTGAGTACTAAAAAGCTTGATTCGATAACCGAATGGCTTTTTAAGCCATACTCACAAAATTTGTCATTGAGCATTAAATTTTAAAGAGTCATTTTTAATTTTTGTTTACTTTCGGCATCATTAGCGTCATGGTATTTAAGTGTCCAACATAAATATGTTCTTCCACAATTGATTATTTTGTGTAAAGTGTGAATATTTTGAAGATTAAAATCGTGTTTCACTGTTGTAATTAATTATTTTTTTGCGTGTTCAAAGTAGGTATAACTTTTTAAGGTCCTTGTACTTAATTTTAAAAGCTTTCTAAAGTTTACTTACTATTAAAAAATTAAACTATATTTATTCTAAGCTATATTATATATTTAAATTGTAATTGCTAATGTTTTATTTTGCTATTAATGTTATGCTTAATTTTGCTACTTAAAGACTTTTTTTTGTTTTTCTTAAGGAAAGTAAAACGTCCATGAAAGTAAAAAGAATATTTTTTTTCATTATGAGTTGTTATATTTTTCTAGTAAATATAATTCGCTATTTTCAATATTGTATTTATAAAAAGTACATGCTGATGTTTTTCTATAAAAATAGATATTGTTTCGTTAAATATTTAGATACTCATTTGTTTATAAATATTTTAAAATGTAATATTTTTTGACTTTTATTAAATAATTTTATATCTTTTGGTACTATTAAACAAGTTTTTACATGAAAGAAAATTCTCGGAAAATCATCATAAACTCATATGAGTATGTTTAAAAAATCAAGTGAGGCAATTATTTCACGATACATAAATTAAAGTTTATTGTTTTTTTTTATGTATCACAAACTTTATGTCTAAAGTAAAATTATAACAAGAACTTAAACTGTAACTAGTTTAATAAAATCACATTCGGTGCATATGTCACCTTATATAACTTCAAAATGTTTGAATTTGTAGAATTTTTCTTGAGCGTACCACAAGTTGCAAACACAAGAGCTGATACACATTACAATTTAAACTATTAGTAATAAGTAAATAAAACAAGAAACGTAATAAGTAAAAACAAATAAATAAATATTTTTTCCACATTTGTTTAAAACAAAGTATTTTTAACTTTATCTTTATTACATAACGATGTTGTTTATGTATGCAGTTCAAAATAACGGAAAATATGTTAGTGAAGCAACTTCACGGTAAACCAGGCCATGAAATTTTAGTTCTAAGGTTTTAGCCAAACTGAATTTTTGCTCGGCAATGAAAAATAAAATCAAGTTTCAAAATGTTAACAGATGTAGTATAAAGAACGTTTTGTTGACCATGACCGTAAAGGTTAATAATGAAAAATTGGAACATGTTTATTGCTAAAAAATATTGATATTAGTTTTAAAAAGTTTCAATGGTTCCAGTTTTACCCATATATCATTAAANATTAAATAAAATTTAAAAATATAGCTTAGATATCTGCCAAGTTTGTGCATTCTCAGTGTGCATAAGAAAAGAATCAAAGATGACTCAGAATTCATTGAAAAAGTTATAAACAGATTTGGACAGCAAATCAGACGATTACAATTCTTGTTTGATTAAAAATTTTTTTAATTGTTATGTATCAATAATTACTTAATTATTTCTTTTTGAATAAAAATATTTTTAATGAAAAAATTTTATAACAAATTTGTTTTTCTGTATCTCTTTAATTGTTTTTAAAAAAAAGCCAAGGGGTGCAAGTGCACCCTCTTACACCCCGCTGCCGGCGCCCTTCATTGCAAATATGATAACAATAAGGGTGATAACAATAATAAATGATTTTAGCCATCATATGCTCAGTATTTGACCCAATAAATGCAGCTTATATGGCAGCATTGGTCCATTAAGAGTTAGGACATACTTTTAACACTTCATATTTGTATACCACTGCCTTTTGCTACTAAAATTCCATTTGTCAAATTCAGACCTAGCATCAAATTCTATTGTGGGAGGGAGTGTAAGCTTATAGAAATTCTGAGCAAATCATCAAGTGTCCTATTTCATCAAAGAGTTTCTATTTCAATCTGTCTTCAGTCTATCGTGACAACTGGAGCCTCTCTTACAGGAAACTGTGACTACTGATAGAACAGCACACAAATGTTATGATCTGCATAACATTTGCCTTCTTCCGGAATTTCGCTAAAGTTTCTTCACTGTTAAATTTACCCAGCATTCGAGTTGTATCTGTTTTTGAAGCGAACATAGACATATTTTGCCCACTCTGCTAAAAAAAATATCCAATTGTTCATTAAAAAGATTTGGGTTTAAATACGGGAAGAGATTCTTTATCTCCTCTATTCCGAATTCATCAAGAATTATTTTTCTTTGGAAGGCCCATCCAAGGCATCAAAAAACATGCAGGGATTTTAACACATCTGATGACATAAATTAAAGTCTTTCTGTGATGTACATATTTGCATGTTTAGTTATTCTGCCTCTTAAATTCTGAAACTATTGCATCCCGTTTTTAATATTTGTCAACTAAAAACTCGCGATTTTTGATTTGAAACAAAACCTTTTGTAAGACAAAACTTACTCGCCAACCCCAAATATTCGATTTGCTAAAGATCGTTTAGTAGTACTTTGAAAATCTAGACCTCCGTTTCAAAGTGTGTATGATCTGGATAGAATTTCAGAATTACTGTGCTAATTTTTAAAAAATGAAACCCCAGTTCCTAAAAGCACCTATGCAAAATTTTAGTTTTCAAAACATGTTAAATTTTCCAAATAAAATGTTCTGGCTACAGTTTTTTTAAAATAAAAAACCACATTGTCTATGATCCAATTATTATTATTATTAAAAAAAAGCTCATTACCTGTATTTTCAATACATTGAAGGTAATCATAGCAATGTATTCGATAAAAAAGACACCTGCGAAATTTTTGCAGATGTTTTAGAAACAGCTGTCACGTTTAAAAGTCTATTATTTTATGCAAGACAAGCAGGTGGTGAAAGGGAGCACAAATGTATAAACTGACTTACGTAAGGATAAAACAATTTGCAAGCGAGATACCTAGCCCTCCCCCGATTTGAAAGCCCTGGGGCTAATTGCTAACTTTCCCCTCCTTTTTTAGGAACTTCTAGAATGAATCTACTTTTGAAAACAAAGATATGTTACAGACTAATTGAAGCAAAGAACAAAAAAAAGTTGAGAAAAAAATATATTAAAAGACTTGAAAAAATTTATAATTTTTGAAATAACTATCTATATAATTAAAAGAGAGTAATGTTATTGCTTATTCGTTTTCATAGTGTGTCATGCGACATTAAGGTCAGAAATCAACAATTTCAGAAAATTTTTATTGATATTTTGATAAACGCATATAATATTTTTCAAATAGAATAGAACAAAAAAAATTTTTTTTCGATTGATATTATTTAAATACGTAGCATTACCAAGTGTTGCAAATTAGTTTGGATTCTTTTTAATTAAAAAAATGTAAAAACTTAAGTGCAACTAATTTTGTTTTATATATTTTTTTTTTAAACATCCTGTATCATATTTTTTCAGCTTTTTTTCTAGTCGTAAATAACAGTTGCAGCTTTAACTAAGTGACCCCATGCATTATCTGAGTCTTTATTGTTTCCAATGTGCTTTATTGATAAGACTTTAATGTAAAAAATGAAGCTTTATAGTTTGTCTAATGTAAGAACTCCTCTAGACATTCGTCTGTACCCGTGGCGGTGACTATGGTAACTAGGTATAACTATTTCAAGTAGGGATGTGGGGTCATTGTTTAGGACAGGTTTTGTCTCGGGTCGGCGAGAGAAACAGAATATTTTCCTTCGGTCTACTGGGCTAGCCCTAGAGTGAAGAGATGCTACCCTCCCTGAAATGCACTATTCTTGTTTCCATAGCAGCAGACGGCCTCATACTTTGTGGCGGGGGGAGTTCTTACCGTTGACAGACTATACCTAACTTTATGACACTATCAAATCAGTATCCTTTAAAATTTTGGGCATAGAAATTCACAACGAAGTCCAGTTTATAAATATACCGAACGTTGTGCCGTAACTGATGTGGAATTATAAATTTTGATTTTATAGCATTACATAAATTTATTTGTGTAAAAAGTCTCGATCTCTTTGTGTCGGCGTGTGTGACACACATTATAATTTACAAATATTTCAACTACTCTGTGACCAATGTTATAATTTTAATAATTTTAACTGTTATGATATTATAAATTTATAAAAGTACAGATATTAAAAATTTAATTCGAAAACTATCGTGATAATTTCAAACATTTACGGTTGCTTTATCTTATGTTAAATATAAATATAGTGGGCAGAGTTCATCTCTTTTTAAATTTATTTATTTAAAAGATTCTGTGAACTGTGAAGTTGTAAATAACATTAAGATAATTGTGTCCATGTATCCTAAGTTAAGATAATGAATGATAAATAGTTGTTTATATTTTGATAAGGAACTAAATTATACTTTCTTTGTTACAGACAAATAGCGAAATGTGTTCAAGAATGTAAATCACAAGCTTCAAATGCAAAAAGGTAATATTTTGTTGTAGCCTGATTATTTCCTATTTTTATACTATTTGATTTTATATCAGTTAAACTTTTTATTGGTCGTTTTTTCGTTAATTCTTTTAGCTTAAAAGTTATTGGAAGTTGTGGGCTATTAAAGTAGCTAAAGATCAAGGAGAAAGAATGGTTTATGTCCATGAAAGTTAATTTTGAGAAAAAACGAATCTCAAAAACGGACAGGAAACGTTTTTCTACAGAACATCCCAATTTAACTGTGTAATAACTCGCAGGGAGAACCTATTTTCACCTTAATGATTAGTCAAAACTTAGCAATCTTCATAGATGGCGATTCAGTCGTAATTATTGTCAAAAATGGATATAAACTATTCTTCCCCTTAGAAACTTCAATTTTTATCTTTCATCGTATTCAGTTTTTTTTTCTGATTAAATCAATTTAATTTTCAGATAAATAAAATTTTTGAATTTCAAATAATTCTTAAGTAAATTTTATTTTGATGAATTACATTTCCTTCTTTTTTTTTCGTAATTTCTTAACTATTTATAATTTTTTTTTATGTATGTTTAGTTGATGGCATAACAATAACATACCAATAAATAAAGAATATCTTTTTTATATTTGAAGTAAATATATTTAGGGTTATTCTTTATACTTTATTGTTTTTTTTCAGTATTTAATTTGCTTATGAATTTTTTTTTTTTGGTTTTAAAACAGAATTGCAAAAAATTTAAAGCATGGACAAGGAAGCTCTCATTCCCATTCATCTGAAACAAACGGTACGTATATTTTTTCACCATTTTTTTTAATGGATTCTTAAAGTATATTTTTATTCTTTGTTGATTATTTTTATTCTTTCTTTGATTCTTTGTTTGACATGTAAACATAATAAATACATTGCAATACTAAAGAACAACTATATTCTTCGTAGAACATCGAAAAAATCTGCTTGCGTTTGATTTTATCATATTATTTTTGTGTTTTTTGCCTTCCTCACATAAAATCGGGTCACATGATCCTAAGGTGTCCTAATAATCTTTCCATTTTTATAGATTTAGCTCATAGCACATTTGGATCAATATATTTAGATTATGTTATACCGTTTATGTTTGACGTATAGTCGACTACGGCTGTATTTTAAATACGTGAAATTTATATGTGTATGCGACTCCTTCCGTGCAGATTGGCATTCAAAATCACACTGATTTTGTGATTTTATATAATTTTTTTAATACATTAACTTTTTTTCGATTTTATTTAGTAATCATTATTATTTTATTTGTTTTACAGGGAATTATGACAGCGAAGATGACTTTGATGATTGGGGTAGTGATTTTGAAGACAGTGATGATGAAGTAAAAAATTTATAACGATTATTTCAAAGCAACATTTTGTGCAAAAATTTTTAAAAATTTCTTATCAATAATACTGTGTTAATCCTCTTTATATCATTTATTATATATTTGACATTTTTATTCCACAATTTCATTATTTAGTTAAAAAATTTTCATGATACTATACTAAAAATTGCATGTTGTTAATAAGTGCTCTANTTGTTATATTATAATTATTAATTATTATATTATAATTATTAATTATTATATTATAATTATTAATTAATTTATTATAATTATTAATTATTATATTATAATTATTAACTTTTATATTATAATTTTTAATATAATTATTAATGAATTGAAATATTAATGTCGCCAGAGAAAATTAATTAATCGTGGCAATAGGTACCTCATGCATTAATCTAGGTACTGTGGTAATAGTTTTTTATTCCCCCAAAGTACTTCCAGAGTACCCCCATGGGTACCTTCAATTTATTAAGATCAGAATAGAGTTTCCTACTTCTTTATATGATAAATGTTTTCGGTTTTTATAAAAATGCTTTGTATTCTAGTGAAATTTTATGCTTTCATAAGGTTTAAGCAATAAAATGATTAAACATTTATTCATATCTGAAAAATTAGGGGCTTGGAGCAATATGATCACAGAAAGATTTTTTGACAAAATTTATAGAACATCAAGATTTCCACGTTTCTGAAAGAATTTTGTGTGTTTTGTGCTGTTATTTAGTGGAAATTCTTGAAACTTAAAAAGTACTTGTCTGTGAAAAATACTATGGAACAGTTTGGTTTAACCCTTTCACGCAGATGGCATACCGGTGTCCCTTTTATGTATATTTTTTCTGACACTCAAATTACAAGCAAAAATATATTTTGATAATTTTTTAATTATAAAAAAAAACTAATAGTTAAAAAAAACTGTTAGATTATGAGAATTATATATGTATTAAAATATATAATCCAAAAAAAGTAGTTAGAAATTTTTTTTTCAATCATATTCAAAATTTTTTCAATAATTGACTTTGCTAATTAAAGAAATTTCATTGATGAATAACTGTTCTTTTAGATTTAAATAACTGCAAATTTGAAAAATTTTGTTTGGAAGTCAGCAGTGTTTGGAGGATTTTTCCTTTAAAGCAGAAATGGACACAGGCATTTCATGTTGTATTTCGTAACTATAAATTATTAAAATTCTAAATGTATTATAGAAAAAAGTATGAAAAATATGTTTCATAAAAATTCTGCATTAAAGGGTTAACAATGTCACTTTTAAAGAAATGCTGTTTATCACAATATTTCTCTAAAGTCTTCATCTGTTATTTCTTAGTCATTTTTAAATCTATTATTTTTATAGCAATATGACAGTCAAGTGTAATTTATTTATTTAAAATGGAAAAAATAATTATTTTTATGTGAAGATTTTGTTTTATGTTTAGAAATTTCTGAAAAATTCAAATTTGTTATAAGTAATAAAATATTTAATGTCCGAGACATTTATTTCATTAGTTTAACTATTAATTATTTTGGGGTACATATACGTGTAAAAATTATTCACTTTGTTTAAGCAAAGCGTTGTTAATTAGGCAGAGACTAAATATTATTAAAAGCAATTAGTTGCTCCTGATTTAGTGAAAATAAGAAAGAAAAAGTAGGCTAAGCAATTGTATCAATACACTGTAACTTTTAATTTAAAATTTATACTTTCTCTTTTAGGTAGTTAGTGAAGAATCTCTTGAAGTTAACAATAATAGTATTATTCCACCATCACCAGGTAATTGTTTTGAGTAATTAGGTGTACATTTTTTTCCGTAAAACTGGACTAAACGATTATTAACATCTGAAATGTTAAAAAATGATTCCAAATGCTCTTTGCTGAAATAGCTCAAAATATATTAATTGTAGTGTTTTTGTTAATTTTTTTAATATTAGTATCTTCACTAACATCTTCAATAGCTAACTCTATATTGTCTTATAAGATATATAATCAAACCGAATCAAAAACTCTATACAAACATTTCCTCATTCTTTTTCTTGAAAGTTTTTAACTTACCTTTTATCTTACTTTTAATATTATTTTACTTTTAATGTTTTATATTGGTTCATTGGTTTTGATGAAATATGTTTTCTCTAATTCTTATTTGGTTTTCTATAATACATATTTTAAACTTTTCTCTTTTAAAAAAAAAATAATCAAATTTTTTCAATGACAAATAATTACTTATTAATAGTTATTAGGTGAAGAACTTAGTATTTATTGTATATTAAATAATGATGTTTTTTAAGTATTAAGTTGGGAGTTTTAAATTTTTAAGACAAATTCATATATTGTTTATTTATTGGAGATATAAGTTATTATCAATTCATACAAAAACTAAATTAATTCAGGGCCGGGATAGCTTGGTTGGTAGGGCGTTGGTCTCGTGTCTGAGGTCGTGCTTTCAATTTCCGCCACAGGAAAACTTCCCATGTTGTGGTGACTGGTGCACGTTAAATCTGTAAGGTCACAAAGTCCACCATGTTCCCATATCAAATCATACCTCTATAGGTATCGTTCTCTAGTTCAGGTCAAAATTACGATCTGTGGATGAATGAATGGGTCCAATCCATAAACGGTTTGTGACGTATCTGTGTGGCAGTAGTCGAATTCTTAGCCATAGATGGAGCCACTGGGAAGCAAGAAGCGCACTCCTTTTGCTTTAATGGCATAGAATGACAACAACAACTAGATTCATTGTACCCTCCAATAAGAAGATTAAGAACATTAACTCAAGAAGAAGATAATTTTTTTTAAATATAATGTACTAAGCAATATTTTTTTAATAATAGATAGATTTATTGATTAATTCTTCTTAATGAAAGTAACCCTCAAGGTGATCTTGACTCAGTTTGAAATGTTCTTTTCGATATTTTTTTTAAGTCTATTTTATTAATTTATTTTTCACTACTAGTAATTTTTCATATATTACCTCTAATTCTGTCTTTCAGAGTGTGAAAGCAAATCTAGTGGAAGCTCTCCTATTCATGAAATTCCGAGAGAAAAAACCATTCCAAAACCTCCAGATATTTCAATTGTTCCTAAATCTGTTGCTGAATCAATAATGTGAGAAAAGTGGCTATTATTACTAGTTTATATTTTAGTTTAAATTATTACTACTATTCAAACTAATAAATAAGAAAACGTGGTCAACTTTTTAAATATTTATGTATTTTATGTGTTATGTATTACTTGTAAAGCCTTAAATAGTTTCAAATATAATTGCAACAGAGGTGATTTAATAATTATTGATTTTTATTTTTATATGATCGATGTCACTTTTTTGTATAATTTATTATTTTTATATTTATTTACTAATGCTATATTTTATAACTTTTTGAAAATATTTCACTATTAGATCTAGTGTTCACTAGTTCTAATGGTGGTGTAATGTAACAAGCGTATTTTAACAAAACAGAGCTTAGAGCAGAATTTATTAAAAATTGTCTCGAGCTGTGGTTAGATAACTTGATCGAGTTAATCATGATCTATGATTATTTTTTTCTTCTCTTCTGATTTTTTAAAAGTGATAGTTAGTTTTTTTCCCTCTCCTGATTTTTTTTAAAGGGACAGTTAGATTGTTTTTAACTCTCTACTGATGTTTTTAAAGTGATAGTTTTATTCTCTCTTCTGATTTTTTTATAGTGATAGTTTTTTCTCTCCCTATCTTCTGATTTTTTTTAAAGTGATAATTTTTTTTCCTTTCTGTCTTCTGATTTTTTTCTATCTTCTGAAGTGATGTTTTTTTTCGCTTTAGTATTTGTGTATAAAGTTCTGAAATAAATTTTCTGAACTCATGTCGTATTTTCTGTTAGTTGTGACACTGCAATGGTGATCATGATCAACTGAAAGTTGCACAGAGATGGTGATTGCCACGTTAGCCTCCATCTGAATCTGCTACTGTTAGTAACTACATACATAGATTTTATTTATGTCAGTTTAAATTAAATTTTTTCAAAGTTTTCTTTTTATTTATTATACTTTCCCCCCCATCTTACTATGAAATTAGTTCGAATTTTTTTAAATCATGAAAATAACACTAAATTCAAAAACAGTTTCTTAATTATAATGCATATAATAATTGTTGCATTATTATAATATTGTATTATTATATAGTATTGTAATGTAATAATATTATATTCTAAAGATAATATGTATTATGTGTTATTTTACATGTTTATTATGTATAATACAAAAAAAAATATTTTTTAAAATTATAGTTATGTTTTGTTTGCATCATATTACAGTTATTCTATCTTAAAAGATTTTTTGAGACATTATTTATAAATAAGATTTCAGAAGTTTTCTTTTTTTATTAATTTGTCTGATTTATTAATTGCTTTTCATTTTACTACAGCACAAGGAATTCAAATCAAACAACTTGTGTTTCTAGACCACCTCTTAAAAGACCACCCAGTCAACCTCCACCACCACCAGTCTCTCAGGTTTGTTTGTTAAAAAGTTAATATGTAAGATGTTCTGTAATTTGCTGCCATAGTTTATATTTGTAAAATCTTTGTAAAACAATTTAAGTAAAAAAACGTGTATTAAAAGCCACTCATTAGTACTTATGTGAAAAAGGAGAAAGTGACCAATCATTAAAATTCTAAACTCTGAAAATTCTCTATCAGGTCAATAAAAACAAATTGGGGATCAAATCATCTAAAAACAGTTTTTTTGAAGAGCAAGTTTGAAGATGATTCTACATTTTCAGGAAACTGATCCATTAATTTCCTTTGAGACAAATAAACTTAGTTTAAGTTGTTATTCCTCCCTGTGCTTATTGACGTCTAAAATGAGTAGTCAGAATTTGGGGACGTTTTTTTCTCTCCCATGAATATTAATTTGAGTGCTCTGAAGTGCATACATTTTTTACCTTTCACAAAGTTTGTAAAAATATATGTGTATTAAGAGTGAAATACCATTATGAAATATCATGAATATGTAAATATTTAAGCTTTGCTCTTTTCATACCTTATATGCTTACATTCTAATTATATGATGAAATTCTAGGGTTACAATTCACTGTGGAGAATAAACAATGAATGAATATATTCCCAGTATTTATATAAATTATTAATTTTAATGATAATTTTTTTTCTAATATTTATTTTAATAGTAATATTTTTTCTGTTTCCTTATGGAATTTTTTACATGTCATGAATTTTTTGCTCTAAAATTTTTTTAAAGAATATTTAGAGATAATACCAATTTATATTTTAAACTCCTCGTTTTAAAATAATTTTTTTTAGTTACCATTTATTTAAAAAAATTTGTTAATCTTTATCTTATAAAGTATGTAATCAATACAAATGTTTTTTTAAGTTAAAATCTATTTATTTTATTTGCTTTTCTTATTTTTATCTGCTTTTATCATTTGAAATCTGTTTTACTTTATAATTCTTTTGCATTTATGCTGAATAATTCATAACTTTTAATTTTTGTATCACAATCATGTAATAAATTTGGTGCATTCCCATGGTTTTTTTTCTCATTTCTGTTTAATCACTTCATTCCAGGATTTAATTTATCCATAGTTTAGTATAATATTTAATGTTATATTATACTAAACTAATCTAAATAATTCATAAAACTAGTCTAAATAATTCATGACTTTTAATTTTTGTATCATGATCATGTAATAAATTATGTGCATTTTCATAGTTTTTTTCTTCACATTTCTGTTAAGTCACTTCATTCCAGGATTTAATTTATCCATAATTTAGTATAGTATTTAATGTTTATCTAATAAATTTTCATACTTTTTGGCTGCATTTTACTTTTTTCTATGTCATCCATTATTTATACCCTTCTTAAGCAACACTCTTATATTTTCTAATATGGTGCTTTCAGTTTTGTTCTTCTCCTCAACTAAATAGTATATTTAAAATAAAAAAGTAAAATTTTGAAAATTAGTGAAATTTTTATTGGTTTGATAAATAAAGAAAAAATATAATGTCTTTATTTAATTATTTAAATTAATGTTATCTTAGAGTTAAATTATTGTCATTAATTTTTATAAATATTTGTTCTACATGGCACCAAACTCTTATTGATAGTAAAATATGTATACCTTTAAGTTGGCAAAACCTGAGTTCGACATAAATACTTAGCTACTTACAAAAAGGAAATATGTCATACACTGAAACAATTAATTAGCAAGTTACAGAAACCTGGAAAATAGGTTTTCTTAAATTTTTCCCAGCATAGTTATATATTTATTAATAACTTTTTTTCGTCATTTTGAAGTCGAATAAATAAAATAAAAAACGTGGTGGCAGCACTAGTTTGGTTAACATTAAGAACACCACAATTATTTTAGATTTAAGTAGAGATTGATGTAGTATAGATATTAGTTTTGAAACATCAAATATAGTTGTATAAACATCAGTAATTTTATCATTGTCTGTTTCAAATTTAAATTTAATAACAAAGTAACTTTTCCTTGTAGTTTGATTTATGAATTTTATATTCTCTAATTATAAAATTGTTTTGATTTTGAAAGAAGAGAAAAAACAGTTGCTGCTAAAATCTGTTAATTCCAATGAAAACTTTTATAGTTGATGTTATAATTCCAGTTGTATCACAATAAGTACAAATTCTAATTTTACTGATAGGTTTTTCTATAATTGTTGTGTTTTGATTTCATATATATTATATATTTAACCATTTGATCATTCGTCTTAGCTTTTTGGAAATTTTAATTAATTGTTTCTTATTATTAAAAACTGGTTTCTCCAATGTAATTCTTTGAGAAAGTCAAGCAAATCGAAGAAAATTCTGAATCATTTTCCACAGAGGGTTGAAGGGTTGAAAATTATTTCCCTGCTTTTAAAACTATTCTTTGTCATTTAAAAAAAAGTTAAGTTAAATTTTTTTCTTATTCAGAAAGAAAGTTTTCTGCTCATAAAATCCAATTTATTCTTCTCATAAGAAATAAAATTTTTTGATGTTTTCTTTGATAGAAAGAATTGTTTTTTGAATTTTTTTTTTCAATAAGATATTTTCCATTTATTTCTTCTAAAGCTCTTTTTGAACTTTACTTACTATTGTAGCCAGTTATATTTGTTTGAGGTCTTGATATGAGAGGAATAAATTTTAAAATTAATATGAATTTACCATTTAGCTAATGGATGTGCAAAACAATGATATTTAATAACAATATCAAGACTTGATAATCATCTATCTTTGAGAATCTCATTCTGCTTTCTTGTTTGTATTTTCTTTAGTTGAAAAATTAATCTAATAATATGTTTTGGCTATTTGCTTGCACATATTTTGTTGCTTGTATACCTATTAAAGTTTATATTCAGCATTAATTTCATAATGAGATAAATCGGTGAATTCAATTGGGGTAATATAAATTATTATAAATTCCAGTTTTTATTCATAAAATTTTTTTCTGATCTCTTTTCAGGTAATATTTGCATTTGTTTAACATTAATAGCATTCTTTAGTATTAAGATTTATTATTTATTTTAAAATGAAATACATATTTCGGATTTTAGTAATGGTTACACTAGAAACAAAAATAAAATCTCTAACATGATATCCGCTAAATTAATAGTAGTGCTTTTCATGGAATTTTGCATACCATTTGAAGATAACATAGACGGTTTAATTTATTAATTTTTTCTATATATATATTTTTTATGAATGCTGATATGTTTAGTGTTTACTCATTGTATAATGATTTTGTGTTATTATAGGTACTTAGTCAAGAAGAACCTCAAGAAGATTATGAAATTCCAATTGTTTCATCTTCAGCTTCTGTCAACGTTTCTAGTTTATCTCTTCAGCAAAATACTGTAAATCAAACGACTGTGATTGGTAAGTTAATTTATTTTAAATGATAATGACATCAAAATCTGCTCTTGAGCGCTACTATTTCACAGTATGAAACAGTTTATTATTTATGTTTTATCTAGTTACTAACTAAAAACAAAACTTGTCGTTAGAACTAGATATCATTGAACTAATTTGTTTTAATTACTTATACTTAGCTTAATTATAATTTATTGTGAATAAATTTTTATTTTTCATAAGCATTTTAAAAGGCAATTTTTTTTTTTACATTTCAGAAACTTATGAAATTGTTGAAGCGGTAAGTATATTTCATGTCACTTATTTTGGTTATAATTATCTTTATGTATTTCATTATTTTATATGAAACATAGTGTTACAGTAATTATTTATTTTGACTGTTTTAAACTAAAAGAGCATATTTTTTATATTTAGCCTGAAGAAAACTATGAAATTGTTGATCGTAAGTTGCTTTTTTTCATATTTAATTAATTTGATTAAGCTATTTATGATCATTATAACTTTTAATGTTAATTATTAATTGAAATTTTTTAAAGTAAAAACAGTCTCTAGTTTTTAATTTGACTTATAACTTTGAAATACATGTTATTAAGCTGAAAAGTCAATATCATAAATTTATTAATTTAAATTTATTTTACAGTTCTGTGAGTGAAATTTTATTTATTTATTTTTGGACTGTTTGGACTGTTATTTTTGGACTGCAAAATTATGCGACTGCTTACAACCTACAGCTTGCATGCATAAAAATTTTAACTACCATTTTAAAAATATTAAATAGCCATTCTAAGTAATGCCTTAATTATCCATGAAAGGGCTAGTTGTAGAGAACATCAACACATTTATGACTACTGCAACTAATAAAGCTAAAAAATAAATGAAATAAAGAACTTGACTATTTCAAAAGCAGATTAGAAACTAAGTGATAAAAATTAGACTAGTTTTCCACAAATACTAATTGCCATTTCTATTTTCAATGGCATCATCATTGTTATTTATCATAATTCAGGCATAATTGAAATGTTCTATAAGTCTTTAGTTTGATATTTATACATTTCTAATAATTGTTTATATTTATATCCCATTATTTTTTTTTATTAAAGTTTAAATTGTTCGATTGTTTTGTATTTGCTATTTATGTAAATATTTTTTAATGAATACTATTTTTCAGCTCCTATGAATTCATCAATTATGTCAGAGAAACCACTTTTACCACCAAGGCATATAAAATGTCCTGGTAGTGTTTCACCTCCTCCACTGCCCCAAAAACCCTTAAAACTGAAAGAAAACTTACTTGGTAATGAAAGAATAGATGGTGTAAAGACATTTTGCCGTCCTAAGCTTCCAATCAAACCAAACAATGATTATCCTGCTGAATCAAGTCCTCCCACAACGTCCCCTAATATAGGCTTTATAAGTTCTTTGATGGGAAGAAGATCAAGCACTCCTACATCTTCTCCTAAGACTCAACACAAAGGAAATGTTGATAATTTTTCCACTAGTCCATCTAATATGAAATTTTTGAGTGGAAGTCATTCTTCATTGTCTTCATCGTCTGATAAAGATGGTTAGCAGATTTAGAAAACTTATAATTTTTAGTGTTTGTCTTCATTTAAACTGTAATATCTTCATTTAATAATTTTTTATTTTAAATTCCAATTTATTTAAAAGGAAATTTTGAATTTTATTTTTGTCTTGTGTTTGTGTTAGTCTTGTGCTTAATTATCATGCCTAAAGTATAACATAAGAGTTAATGGGATGTGACCATATTTAAACTTTTTTGGCTTTTTAACCCTCAGAGCATTATTCTGATTTTCTCCAATTTTTAACTGTAAGTTTTCCTGCATATTAAAACCCTGATTGTTCCAATTTTATCCAACGAGAAGAAAGCATATTTTTAGTACAGTTCAGCTTGTGAGCTTAATGCTTGGTGGGCTAAATAAGTAAAATAGTTAAGTTGTTTGTACTTGTTACAGTAACATTTGAATTTTTGTCATATCAAGATGAAATCTAATAAAAAAATATATAATCATATTCACATTAGCCACAAAAAATATAGTATTACATAAAAACCTGCAAAAGTAAACTAAGTAATGAATAAAAATTAAGAAAAAGAAACTGTGGTTGAATGAAATTTTATATGTTTCTGTTACATGAATGAGCAGTTTCACTTATCTGATTACTTTAAGGTGTTATTGGGTGTTAAAGTAGGCCACAAAGTTCTCATTAACCTAATTTAGGCCAAGCATAGAAATTTTATAATGCATTTCAGAGAAATATTCTCAAATTACATTCATCAAGACAAAAATGTTTCATGCCTCAAAAATAATATTTTATTTAGGAAATAAAATAATGCGTATATGTCATTGGCCAAATTAATAGACTAACCATTTAGTTGAACACTGTTTTTTTATGAAAGTTTATTTACAGAACTTGCAACATTAAATCATTTGAAAAGTATGATAAATTTCAAATGGAATAATTATATGTTTTTAAAAATTCATATTTGTTAATAACCATTTCAAGTTGAGAAGTTTAAAAATTGGTTTAAAAATTTCTCATCAGAAAGGGTTTACTCTAATTGAATTGCTAATATTTTATGAATGTCTTTAGAACCCTTGAAAACAAGAGAAGAATAAAATTAGCGGAAAATAAACTTCACTGTCTTAAAAAAAAATATAGTTATTGAATTGGTGCGTGTATGCACTTTTTGCCAAAAAAAGGGATTAATCTTGAGTTTTCCTCCTTACTTGGAATTAATGAGGAATTATGTAAACATTGCAAACAATGACAAAAAGACAGGTCTTTGAATACACTCATTAGTGAAAATAGAATTGGCAGCATATTTCTTTAGATATTAAAGATAACAAATAAAAATGAGTTATTAGCCCTGATTCGATCACATATACAATAGGACACACTTTCAGTTGCTTACTTGATTAAAAATTAACCCCCATCATTTCCCACAATTTGCTTTGCCTTTTTCTATTTCTGATTTCATATCGTTTTGCTCTCTATAACCTGTGTTCTTTACTTTATTCGGTTGACCATTCATTCTTGAAACTTCTACTCTATTATCATCACGTTTTGAATTTTATAGAAAATTCAAAACTAAATTCTTTTACTTTAAACTATGAATTCTTTAAATGAACCTTAAGTTCATTTGGAGTTTCTAAAGAATATTTTACATTTAATTTTAAATTACATTATTTTTTTCCTAATAAACAATTATGCACCCCAAAACTCTTGATTTTTTCTTGTGACAGTACATTGAGATTTGAGTTAGTATTATTGAAGTATATGTTCTTTTAACTCTGTAAATTGTTGGTAACTTTTGTATCAGTCAAAGCATAAAATATTTTTTTTGTGTTTAGGGGATGTAAAGAAGACTATGCCTTTACCACCTCTACCACCACGGTCTGTTTTGAATGCCTTAGAAGAGACAGGTTATAATTCTTTGTTGACATTTTTACCTGATGATTTATTTTGTTATCATTTGCATTGTAGAGGTTTGAAATACTAGTGTACTAATTTAATTATGGTGTACTACTTGCTTAATCATTTTAGCCAAGCTACTTTTATCATTATTGAAATCATGAATTAAAATCAAATTATTTTCTTAATGTTTATTAAGAATTTTTTTTATTTCATGAAATGTTATAAATAAATAGCTACAAATTCGATTATTAGTCTTAAATTAAGAATGCAAAACTTAACAGCTATTTCCATGCATAATTTATCTTAGAGGAACAAGAATAAATGAAAGCAGAAGTTTTATTGCAACTGATTTACTCTGCTTTCCTCAAAATTTACTGTTAAACGAACTGAAATATTTAATTAAATTCATTTTTTTTGTGTATTATTAAAATAACATCAGTTTTCGTCATTAATGTGAGGAAAAATTATAGACATCTTTTTAATTGGTATATAAGGCTGACATGAATGTATAATTTTTTTAGGTTTGATTTCTTAATTCAAAATTGTACTTGTTTATTAATTTAATTAACTTAAGTTTTAAAATGTACTTACTATCCCTTAATTTTTCTTTCAATTAAATATATTTTACCATTTACTTTGATTAAAAGATTTTACTAAAAAATTATTCTAACAAGTTTTAATCTTTTGGTTATGTTTTATATAGTAAGAAATATTACTTAATATTTTTTCTCATTAGGTGTTTATTTTAAACAAATTATTACTCTGTTTTTATTCTGAATTACTTATTACTCTTAATATTATAAGATAAAGAATAATTGTTTTTTTGCCACTGCTGCAACAGTATTTAAATACCATTGTGTGTTAAATTATAATGTTTTTAAAAACTAAACAATAAATGAGTGGCATTATAGATTTTGTTTCAGTTTTGTTCAATCAATTTTGCTTGATATTTTAAACTTTTCTCTACTCTATGATGTCAAATAATTTCATTTGACCTAATGGTTAATAAATCTATTTTTGCTTATTCTAGATAATTTTTTTTAGCATTTAAATTATAAAATTTTATCATTTTTTATTGTTTCCATTATTTAAATTCATTAAACTGAAAATATACTTCATTGCTCTGGTATAAACTATGTGTTTTTCATGAAATTTGATAACTACTCTTTTACATCTCTGGAAAATACATTTTTTTCTTTTATGACTCTAGTTCATGACTATACTTCAGTTTTATGACTGTAGAAATCAGGTTGCTTATTCCAGTTGCATAATAAAATATAATTCCATATGCTAACACTTGACAAGAATTTGATTTTATGAGAAATTAGAGTGATATTATTCTATATTTATTCACAAGATGCCTTTTCTATTTATGTTTAGAAAATAAGTTTGTTTTTCAAAATTTTATAAGAAAACTGAACTATTAAAATTTTTTATTTTGGCAATTTTTATTCATAAAACATTTATAGTTTGTATTTCTTTATTGTAGCTCAAAATATGGCAACAAGACCATTACCTCCTGTGCCTACATCTAAATCAGATGATAAACTTAATGAAATTTTAGAGGTAAATAATTTTGTGCTGTATGATCTTTTAAACAAATTGATACTTAAATTGAAAGATCACAATATTTGCTATTACCATACCCTCCAACTTATGAGGATTTTGAAAATAATTCTTTCTAGTGGTAGCGAACCAAAGTAGAAATTTTTAAAGCAAATGGATCTCTCATAAAACTTTTATCAGAACTTAAGAATCTAGCCATATGGCATGCACTTTTATAAGTAATAGTGGACAAGTTACGCTAAAATTAATTTTTTTTAAATATTAAGACATTAATTTTGCTACCGTCTGAAAAGAAGATTTCTGAAACTACGGAAATTCCGTAGCAGTTGGAGGGTATGTATTACTATTTCATTTTATATTTAAGCCTATTTTTGCCTTATTATTTGATTATCATTAAATAAATTATTTTTTAAATTCTAAATTATTTGAACTAAAAATATTAGGTTGAATTTTATTAAGATTATCAATATAGGCAATTGAATTCCTCAATTTGTTTTTCTTTTTTAAAGCTATTTAGCATAATACAGTTTTCGGGCAAATACTTCCATTATTTTAATTCGGATATTTTTTCCAGGCAATATATATATGTTACGGTGAGACACCGAAGTCTGGAGAATGTCAACATTCTCGTAGTCCCTTGGTGTATGTCCGAAATATTTGCTAAATACCCTTATTTCGGACTCTCACCGGTGAATGTCAACAATCACATAGTTGCTTTGGTGAATGTCCGAAATATTTGTTATATCCAATTTTATATTAATTTATTCGTTAAGATTATTATATTTATTTGATATATTTATATTTATTCTATATTTTAATACTTACTGACGATAGATTAGAAGAAACATCAGTGTTTGGAGTATCGGGCATAATATATACCGGGCAATGGCACTTGACCTTAAAAAAACATCAGTGTAGGTTATACCGGGCAGTGGCATTTAACCTTAAAAAAACATCAGTGTAGGGTTAAAATCTCGAATAAATGTAATTATATTCACGAATAAATTCATATCAAATCGAATGTAATAAATATTTCGGACATTCACCAAAGCATATCTGTGATTGTCAACATATACCGGTGAGGGTCCGAATGAACAAGAATGTAATGAAATATTCGATCTTTCACCGACATATTTGGTGTTTGTCGACATTCACCGGTGAAAGTCAACAACCACCGATTTCGGTCTTTCGCCGTGACACACATATATATATATATATATTTTTTCTTTTTCTTTTCTTCATATACTATCAAACAAACATGTCTGTCAGATGAGATTATTATGATAAAAAATCACAAGGTTAATATTAGATGTACACTAACATTCTACTATTCATATAAATGCACCATATTTAAAAATTGAAATTGCTCAAATGAATGCAAAACTTGCTATTTCAAACAAATATTTATGTAGCTCTTGTTTTAAACTGCTTCCGTTCATTTCTGTATCAAATATTGGTTGTAAAAAAGGATAAAAATATCTTTATAAACCCTTTTTCAATATATATAAACATGCAGGATTTTAAGGGAATAATTGAGACAAGCGTGCCTAAGATAAAAATATTATATGTAGAAATCATTTGAAGAAGGTGATTTAATGCAATTCTAATTTCATTGGATTAAAAATTTTGGCCCCAAGAATGTTGGACAGTGATCAATTTTAAAGGGAGCTATTTCAATTAAGGAAAGTTTTAAGCCAAAATTTATGTCTGGAAATCCGTGTCTTTGCTTGAATGAAAGATTATGTTTATTCGGTTATTTAATCTGTATGTTTCTGGGGAAAATTGACAAAATAATTCCATATTTTGGAATTAACCAGAAGGTAATTAGTGTTTCTGAGTTAGTGTTAGTGTTAGTGTTTTTGTTTTTTTTAGTGTCATTTAAAAGTTCCATATTGAGTTTTAGCTAGTTTGGGTATGGCAATTATTCTTTATTATTGTAAAAAAATTCTTAAATTAAAATTGCTGATCAAACTGTGTTTGAAAACTTGGTAAAATAATTTTATCCAAAATACATTATGCGAGAGAATTTAAACTTTGACATGTTCAGTTTTTAAATTTTGTGCCAGTTTCAAATATTAAAATCAAGGTTAAAGAATGTTTTTATGCCATTTTTTTCCTGTCATTGATATTTTATTGCTTTAAAATGACTTTATACCATATTACACACAAAACACACAACTCATGTTATGGACTAATTCCATAGGGTCTTATATTTTTTTAAAAAAAAGTACTGAAATAATCAAATAACAATGTTTATTAAGTCATTTCTATTTACACCTTTTAGCAAGATATTCAAAGTTATCCATGGTTTCATGAAATTGAACGTGAATATGCAGAAACAGCTGTCAAAAAACTAAATGAGCCTGGTTCTTTTGTTGTAAGACCCAGTAAACGAGCTGGAAAGGAGAACCCATACAGTCTAACAGTCTTACATGAAAGTAAACTTTTCCACCTCAATGTTCGGCAAAGATCTGACAATACTTATGCACTAGGTAAAGAGAAAGAAAAAGAGAAGGTACTATTTTTTTTAATCTCATTTCTAGAATACATAAGTTTTTTTATAAAGCTGTTAAAAAATGTTTTGAAAAATTTTAAAATTTTTTTATATATTATTTCCTTATCTTCAATTGATTTTTAAAATTCCATCTTTTTTTCTAAGTATTAATTTAACTAGACATTCATACATCTAAAAGTATGTATAATATAAGGCAATGCTTTTTTCGTATAGTTTAAATCTATAATTGGTGATAAATTCCGATATATTTATAAACATATTTTTTGCTTTTTCGTGACAATGCAGTTTAATATTTAAAGATAATCTTGTTTCATATCGCTTATTCCCTTGTATTTTATATCATTTATTCCCATCTTGTTATCTGTAAGTAGTTTTTTTGGGGGGCATTGGGTTAGAGATTATTAACATACTTAGCTGTTTCTTTTATATTATCTATTTGATAATTTATTGAAGTCTTCAAAATTAAGTGTAATTACATAAGACAATAGTTTTTTTGTATAATTGTAATTTTATAATTGGTGTTAAATTTCAATATTATATTTGTAAATATATTTTGAATTTTTTAGTGACAATATAGCTTAATATTTAAAGATAATCTTGTTTCACATCTCTTATTTTCTTGTAGTTTATATCATGTCTTTCTAATCTTGTTATCTTCAAGTATTTATTTGTGCATTCATCTAGATTTTTGAAATGATTGATAAAATATTTACCTGTTTCTTTTATATTATTTATTTGAGAACTTTTTTTAAGTATAATAATATAATATTATATAATTTAATATATATATGCATATATTCAAACGTGCTTCAATACTGCAGTAAGAATGCATCATAAAAGATCCCTCTATTTATGCTTCTAACCTCTATTTGCGCTTCTGTTTTCATATTTTGTAACCTGGCAGACTTATTACGGAAATATTTAAAATGATTCTTGAAAGATAACGATATGTGTAAGTTCGTTTGAATTCGCTACTATTACGGTTTGTGTTTTGTACTGTATTTTTCTTACATTTTGTTTTATTTTATATATTTTTTACTTAATTTGTTCTGTTTTCGTTGAATGTTTTTGAGTGCTCCTCAAACTATTTTAATGATATATTTTGCTTTAGCTAGGTTAATACAATATTAGAATGCACTCCTTTTTGCAGATGTAATTGTGTTAGCTGATGATGAGATGATATCTTTTCATTATTTTGTTTTCCGGCTCGTTAAAATTTTTTTTTAAAATAAAAAGTCTTTTAAATATTTTTTATTTTATTTTTATAATTTTTTCTTTTTTAATTAATCTTTATTATATTATTTTCCATGTTTTCTCAAAATTTCTAACTATATATTTGTGCGTTCATCTAGTGATAGTGATAATGATAGATAAAATATTTAGCTATTTCTTTTATATAGATGTAGCTTTTATATAGCTGTTTCTCTTTTATAGATATAGCTTTTATATAGCTGTTTCTCTTAAAATATTATTTAAAGCTTTGAAAACTTAATATTTTTATAACTATAAAGTTTGTATTTCTCTTTCAGACTTTTTCTACAGTAGCAGAATTAATTGTTTACCATCAAAATGAACCAATTTTACTTAAGAATCGTGGCGAACCAGCAGGAAAAACCAAATTATGTAAATATCCAGAGAAAACATAAGCTGTTGATGTTTATTTTATTATTGAATGCATTTATTTATATTTTTTGTGAATTCCAGAATTAGTCTCTAAATGTTGAATGTTGCCTCACTATGTTACGGTAAGAATTTTAATAAAGTGAGAAAAATTCCTATTTTTTACAAAACCTATATAAATTTATTGGATTTCATTGCGATTATTATTCATGTACAAGTTAATTAAAGTGAAATATATTTTTACTAAGAAGGCACTGAACACTTTTATCTGCATATTAAAATATTTCATATTTTTAGAATTTTGGAAACTTTATACGAGTTGTTACAATTGAAAATTCTATATACATTGTTAGATTTAGAGATCTATTTATAAGTTAAATGGTGTTGTAAAAAATTTACATTTAAGTTTTTCTCCTTCATTTGATTTTCACTCATCTAATGAACTGTTTTATTTGACACTAATTTAAGTATGTTGTTATGTACAATAAGAAAATTTCTTAGCTACTTAGTAATTGCAGAATTAATTAGAACTTAGGTATTCATAAATTCTTTTTATGAGCTTTAACATGGTTTTCTGTAATAATGCACAATGTTCAGAAATTTCATATATATTTATAAAGAAAAGAAAAATTTAAACGGCTTTCAAGACCCATATTCCATCTATGTTTTCAATATTCATTCTTATTTGTTATATATTTTAATATTTATTTCATCTTGTATGCTAAATATTTTAATCATAAAAAATCACCTATGAGATTGTTAGTCATAGTACATATGACTTGAAAATTATTTGCTTTCTACTAAGTTATTAAAAATATTAGTTTATTATTTAACTTCTAATAAAATGTGGAGGTCAGCTAAATTGAGATCAAGGCCTCTGTTTTCATCAAAATAACAGTTTATGCATAGCTGATCACTTTGTAATTTATGCATAGCTAATCACTTTGTATACATAAATGAAATGCATGATATAGATTTTATTTATACTTTTTTCAATTAAAAAATGACTTAAATTTACTTATAATGATTTTAGTTCTTTAAACAAAATGCATTGATGAAGATGATTTTTGCAGATGTTGCAATTTTATCAATATTTTCAGGTTTTTGTTTGTGCTAGAGCTTTATTCAATGATTTTATATATTTGACAAAAGTTGTATTATTTTAATTTTTATGAATGTTAAAAATAAATGTTTTATTTGAAACTTTAAATACATTCCAAACTTTTGCTTTTCTCAGGAGTTGTGAACATGACAGTATTTTTTTTGTTGTATATTTGTGAATAAGAAAGCTTATGGTTTAAAAAAATATTTAACGTAATTAACTTATTCAAATTTCAATACATCCTTTAAACTAAAAAGTATATTGATGTTTCAATATTCTTTCTAATTTTACCTAGTCTTTATGAACTAATTATTCCTGATTTATTTTTATTTATGAGGAATTTCTTTCATATGTTTTTAATCATATATAAGAAGTAGATATATTTTTATATCAAACAGTTTAATAAAATCATGACTGCCTTCAATAAGAGAGAACATTTTGGATGCAAATATTTCTGTAAATTGTTTACAAAATATGCAAATTTCATGTTTTTACAAGAAAATTGAGTCATTGATCTTATTGCAATGATCAATAACTATTTCAAAATGTATTTCAAAATTTTTTATGAATAAAACTGAGCAATAATATTTTGATAAGTTGTATCCTGGTTTATTATTTCACTTGTTTTTCCGTTGTGAATCCTAAGTCTCAAATGCAACAGCTAAATTCAGATACTGAATTTCCAATTAAATTGTCAAATTATTCGACCATGAGATTCTTCCTTGTACTTGTGATTTTTTAAGCAATTTCCTTTTTAATTAATTTCCAATTTTTGATTTTTTTGATGACGTTGAAAAAATAACCAAATTGCCAAAAATATTCTATCATGCTCTTTACAAAATCTATTAAAACTAAATAAACTTAATCTAAATCAACTTAAATTTCATAGATTGGTCAAGATAGAATTCGACTTTTCATTGTGATTTTTTAAGTGATCATTCACCAATTTTTGAAAATTTATATTAGTTTTGGCATTTTCTCATTTATATAATAGTTTTAGTCTTATACCTTAATCTCTTATTAATTTAATCTTATTTAAATAAAACTTTATATTACTATCATTTCCTAATTCCAAGCAGTTTTAGATTATATTTTCTATCCAGTTTGTCTATTAGAAACAAATCAATGCTTTTGTTAAAAATTTGAAAAACTTGCTGTGAATTGCAATTAAATAGCAGTATTAAAATTTAGCGTGGTATAAAGCAAAATATTACTATCAATATATTTATTGCAAATTAGCCGTCTTAATTACTTTTAAAATCTGTTTAACCAGTTTGTCTGTTAGTAATAAGTCAATCCTTTGTTTAAAAGTTTTAAAACTTACTGTGAATATTTTTTTTACTGTGATTTTTTTTAAAATTTATAATTAAAATTGAAACTTTACATTAGATGAAGCAGCGTTTAAATAAAAATGTTGTTAGTAATAGATTTAATGCCACAAAATAATTTTTTTAATTATGTTCTGAACACATTTTAAATTTTTTAAAATTTAATATGCTTTTCATTTTTAAGCTTACGTTTGATTACACACATAACTTATCTTTAACCGTTTCTCAAATAAAGAAGTAAAGATTCTAGTGCATTTTAAAATAATTATCTCGCTAACATTGGAATATAAATTTAGAAACCATGCTAAGCTGAAATAATTCTGTTTTTTTGCCCCATGAGTCAAGTTGAAAATAAATAGATAACTATTAAAAATTTTACTTTATTGTATTTGATTCTTAGGATATTATTAAAAATTGTTTCTTTATTGTAGAACATTTGACTCAGAGTCAAATGTACTACAAAATCAGATCAGATGCTATTTTCTGGCAACAAGCAGGTATTATAAACAACACAAGATTGTTACAGAATTTTAAGCCAAAAACTTGAGAATAAACAGATACTATTAAATTTTTAAACTAGAGGGGTAAATACAATTATAATGAACAAATTAGTAAAAAAAAAATCAATTAACAATTATTTATAAAATTATACATTTAGTACTTTATTTAAATAATTCTCAAAACTTCGTATTTTATTTTTTCTGGAATAAAAGTGGTGAGTTAGCACAGTTCTTAAGCTATGCTTACCTATTTTGCAGATTATCTTATGATGACCATCACTAATAAAACCATCATTGAATTCAATTTGTTTTGCAATTTGAAATTATTGCATTTTATTTGCTACTATAGTTGAATCGTAAATGTTACAAATATATAAATTTCAGTCATTGATTATGTCACAAAAAGGATTTTATGTCTGTGTGTCATAATTTTATTGGCACCTATAACTGAATTTTTTTTATCACTTTTTCATTTAAGTTAGCAAATTTTTTTAAAATTAATTGATTGTTTTTAAAAAAAATTCAAAAATAAATTCAAAAATACTTCTTTTTTCAGAACTCTTTGTAACACCTGCATCTGATGATAATAAAACTATTTTTACTGGTCTGTCAGGAGAAAAAACATTTAATTAGGTTTTATGTTATCATAATATATTTAGTTAGGTTATAATACTAAGTCAAGTTGTTTAATTGTAAAAAGTATGTGAAATTTTTTTAATGTTAATAAAATATTTTTTTTTTTTGTGTTTGCTAAAAATCTAAATACTGATTTAGTTTTGTATAATTTCACATCAATTTTATAATGCATTTAATTTTGTATCATATGATATAATTTTTTTAAATCAAATATTTAAAATAATAGTTCAGAAATAGAACCCATGGTTACTAAAAATAGAACCTTACAACCCATTATTACTTTTGCTTGATTTAAATTGGTTCCCTCTGTGTGCTTAATTAAAGCGCTAATAGAGAATGATATGTTAAGTGTTTTACCGTGTCAGTTTTAACTCTGAGTCTGATATGTATAAAATTTCATCTTCATCAGATGGGAACATGTTTATGATACAAATGTAAACACTTTATTTATATCGACTGCTTTCTAGAAAAATATGCGTCTATTTCTACTACATCGTGCAGGTGCTGAAAACGTTGGATTCGCAACTGTGTCTGAAAAATTACAGTTGACACTCAATCTTTTCGTTAAATTTAAAAACTTGAAAATCGTGATTCTTTTCCGATTAAAAAAGAAGAAAAAAAAATCTTTAAACGTATTATTCAACTATCACATTTATGATGGCCTCATCCACTTATCTTAAGTTTCGTCTTTAAATATATAAGTTTTAATTCTTCGCTCTGGTAATTTTTTTATCTTAATTATCCAGTTATATTAAAATAAAAGTAGTAATTGTCTTAATGCAGTTACATAAAAGCAAAAAGCTGTTACTCTACTTTCCATTCCAAACATGCTCGCTCCCTAAAATTTGACCTGGCTCCAAGAAATGGTAAACTTTTGTAGATCTCTCATCACTTTCTCTTTGAGTTTTTTCAAACTTCAAATCACAAATGAAGATTAAGAATCCGTGGTTGTTTTTTTTTATTTGGTTTGAAATGGTTCCCAGTGTATGAAAGAAGCACTAATACCCTCCCCATTATATGCAGAGAAGAATGATACAGGAGGTGGTTCACTGTCTGATTTTTAACTCTGATTTGTGTGAAAATGCACCTCTCGGGAAAAACATAGGATGTGTCGGTAATTGTAGTTGTGATCTTTGATAAACTGATGGGAACTGAACAACATCGAAAGGCACCTGTCTAAATTGCGGCAAAGCAAAAGGATCATAAGTGTTGCCCACTCTACGACCACCCCCAGGAATTTCATTTGTTTCATGATCAGAAAATATTCCTCCTCTTAAAATCTCAAAATGACCATTGCCCAGTAAGTTCGGATTCTGTCTGCTTTCTTTTACCGCTAGTTCGTCCACACTTCTGAGTTTAGCTCGTCTGCGTGCTGTCGTTGCCTTGGTGGACTGGGCTTTGAATGGTGAGGGTATGGGTACAAATCCAGATTCGTTTGCTCCTGTAGTTGGATTAAACTGTTTTGAAAATTTGATCTTCTCATTTATTTTTGTTGGATTTGTGATTTTGAGTTTATCGGTAGTTGTAGCTCTTTGTTCTTTGCTGTAATTAGTGGCGTCGTATTTCGTTCTCGACGGCGATGTTTGGTTTTCCGTATCTTTATTAGTTTTATTGGAATCGCAGTTGGTACTGCAATATGGTTTAGACGGTGGCAAAGTTCTCGTACCGTATTTTTGCTCCGCTGCCGGTTGAAGCTCTTCATAGTAAATGTTAGTTGTAAGTGTTTCTTTGGATTCACCCTTTTGAGACTTAAGTTTTGATTCTGACGAAAATGTCCCTGCAAATAAAGAGAAAATATCAAACATTAAAGGTTGCAAGTGTGAAAGTTATATAAGAAAGTTGAAATACAGAGGATATTAAAGGCTAGAAATAAAAAACAGCGTAAATATAATTTTTTTTGTTGCAGAGAAATGTGTTTAAGACCAAGTTAAACAAAGTTAAGAACGCAAAAAGGAGAACTCCAGTAGTAATAATTTAAAAAGATCACGCTGGTTGATTGTGGCATGCGCAGTAAGTAGAAAATGTCCTAAATGTCATCAGAGCTCTGTGATAAGTCACCTGGCATTTCACGTTTGATAAAAATAATACGATAAAACGAACAAAAATAAAGATAAAAATAACAAATAATTCACGATGAGGCTCAGCGGGTTGAGCGTTTGCTTTCCAATGAGGTGAACCAGGTTCGAATCCCAGCAATGGCAGATCAATACGAATTCCGCATCCGGCTAGCACTGACCACAGTGCTGACGTAAAATAGCCTCATTGGTAGAAGGATCATGGGTTAGAGTCCCCTTCCCTTCTGGATAACCGTGGGTGATTTTTGTGGGTTTCCGCTCCATGTAGTGCAAATGCGGGTAAGTTCCGTCAAAAATTCCTCTACGAAGGCAATTTTCTCCTAATGCTTAATCCAGAAGTTTCATTGTTTTCTGGATTTATTTCAAAATTACAAGTCTACGCAGTTGAACATTGGTTGTCGTAAACCCAAAAAATTAGGTCGATTGTTCAATGACGGTTATAAAATAAAATAATTCACGATAATAATAATTAATTTTTAGAAGGTTTTTAAAAACTAAGCGTAAGCAAGTCAATGCAAGGTGTAGTTAATTACGAACACAAAGGATTGCAATGGAGAACGCCCCAAATTCTAAATGCGAGTGTTTTTAATTTTTCAACTTTCCTGAAAAATTTTCTCTTTTGGACTTAGGTCGTTTTCCATTTCTAGTCCTTACCTCAATTGCTTATACTACTAAGAACGTATTTATGAAGTGCAGATTTCAGGTAGCTTTATACGCCTTGTTTTATTATTGCATTATATTCTGTTAGGAGTCATGGTTATTACTGCAAAAAGACTTAAAGCCTCGAGTCATTTTGTGATAGTTCAAAGCCTTGTGTATTTTGGTTATCTTGAAGATTCCTTTTGCTTTGTTAATCATTCTTTGCTTTGCTATATCTTAATGTTATTTTAGTCTTTTTGAATCAATTAGAGAAATGTGTCAGCAAAAATATATTTGCAATTTCAAAGAAACGTTTTAAAAATTAATCATCAGTAAAACCTTTATTCATCTTTTGAGACTTTTGCCTTCCTTTAACGTTTTGCTTACGATCACATTTACTTTTCATTGCTAGCGGAGTATGTAATTTTTAACCAGAACTAAAGTTATTTGGCTTTCAGCAATATCTGATTAAAAATATTTGTTACAGATAAAAGTTTAGTTTTTGATAAAATTTATAATTTTTTTCAACAATTATCAAAATTTAACTAGTTACTTATTGCAATTTTCTAATAATATTCCACTTTTTAAAATTTCCTCATGCTCATTGATAGGTTAGAAAAGCTCTCAAGCTTTGTTAATGATTTACCACTCTGAATTTTACCAAATAAAATAATAATATTTTTTTCTTTAACATTTTACGTAAGCTTATATTCTGTAAAATATTTTATTAAAACAATTTCCGAGTGTTGAACATTTGAAGGATTTTTTTCAGACATTAAACACGGAGAAGGGAGTTGTTTAGGAGTACAAGGACTAAGCTCAAAGCAAAAATTGTGAAAATATATGCTACGTTGCAGAAAATTAATTTGATGTTCCATAATATTGTAAGACTATATAAATCAAATTATTAATTTCTGAGGTTTCGAAGGAACAAGATTGAAAATATATTTAAAAAGCGTGACTGAAGCTTGATGATCCGTACTGATTGCATGCTATGCATTTCTGTTTTAATCTTTGTGAATTCTCAAAAAATTCGAACTTCTGATTGAAAGGTTGCAATGTTTTTTTTTTTTTTTGGTAATTCTCAGACAGACATTGCGGGTTCAAATTGACCTTTCCAAAGCATCTTAGGCATGCTTTATACGAATGGATCTTGAGCGCCTGCCTTATACTTTCCAGGAAATTGTCGGAAAGGTCACACGTTGTCCCCCATTTAAATGAGGTAACTGCACGCGCCCGAGTACAAAACACAAGGCTTACAACTTTACCTCAAACCAGACAACTTGCCACTCTCATAAACACGGATGAATGTGCAATTGTTCAACAAGAAAGCAGCTTGCACCAGCAAATTACTCTGTCATACTGGTTGATTTCTTGGATGTTTCCGAGCATATAGTGGGTCCTTCGTTTAAATAGGCCGTATTTTCATATAAAGAGAGAACTAAGGAACCCTCTTCTTTCCAATGTCCAAGAAATTGACCCTTCCGACAGTGAAGTAGTGGATTGTCTGTGCAGGTTTCTTTTGAATTGCTGCACACTCGTCTAACTTTTTGAGAAAGATACGTTACCTGGTTTGAGATATAGAGAAAAAGTTTTGAAGACCTATGTCAAGGGTGCAGTTGTGCCTGATTGCATCTTGACGACAATGCGTGGCTAACATAGAGCTCATTTTTTGATTGGCGAATTTTGATGGTTGGTCCGGTTGGTAGACGTCAATCACATGAGCATGTCTGAGATACCCTCACGCCCTTACCGAAAACCACCAGGATCAATCTGAATAATTTTCCGTATTCAACATTTCCTTGTGTAAGGGGTCACCAATTAATTTTTCTTTTTTGTTCAATTCTGCAACCATCTGATTCTTATGAGTGTTACGCGAGATCATGAGTGTGTATTACAAATGTTGAAAGGTTATTTTATTTGTATTATATCAATCGATGTTTATACTAATTTTTATTAGCATCTGTCAAATAGTTCTTGAGATAATCGAAATTGATAGTTCTTGAGATGCCGAAATTTTTTTAAATTTTTAAACAGTGTAATTTGTGTTAAAAAAATTCAAAAAAGAATTTTGTAAAACTGATTGGAACAAAAACACTAGGATAAGAACAAAAAATAATTAAATTTGTTTTCGAATTTCTCTACCACAATTGGGATACCTTTTTAATTTCATTAATCAAATTAACGTATTTAATTGACTATCTGCTGTTTCTAAAGAGAAATTGATGCAGATAATCGTTATCTACGGTACAATGCATATTCAATTATAAAGCAAGTTTTAGCTGGAAGCGGATGCGAAATGATTTTTTTAAATCCAAATGCGAAATATTTTACTGAATGAATGAAATATTTCAAAAAGTAGTTTGATTTTAAAGGGTGTCATTTGACACGTAATGCACATTTATTTACGACTTAGTTTTCAATTGAATTCAATTCCACTGAATGATGTTTATTAGTAGTCTACATTTATTTTTTATTTTAGTTTATATTTTCTCATTTTATAAAAACATCGGATTATTTCAACGAAAAAAATACATTTTTTCAATTAAATAATCAGAACTGACGAATGTTTTTTTAAAGATAAATGGCAAACCCTATTAATATTTACTAAGGAGTTGGTAAAAAATAATTTCGGTTAAAAAAATGATTTTTTTAGAATATAAATTACTTAAAAAGAGTTTACTAGAATCTGTAATGGAATTAAAAGCAGAATTTTTATCTTAATATTGTGAGACGGATGTTTCAGTTTTAGGACAATTATATCTGTTTGATTCTAATGATCCCCTGCAAATTTCATTTGAGTAAGAAGCCCTCCTACACGAAAATTTATATAGTTGCATCAACTAATAATAATTTAACAGAGAAACAAAAATAAAGATGTAAAATCGCATATTTTAAAAACCTTTAACACGCATTTTAAACAAATCATTTTTTAAAATAAAATTTCGTTTTGTTTAGAACTAAATGATTAATTATAGTTTCTTTTCTTTCAATTTTTTTTATGTACCGAAATTCTTACTGAATTCAGGCTGCAGTTTAAATGTAGAATAATTTAAAAATCTGACTAAAGGTAGCGAAAACAAAATACTTTTTGACAAACCTAGCGATATAAAATAAAACCTAAATGCATTTTTATAAAAAAAGTATTTTCCTTTTACTGGATGGAGCTAAACAATATTATAAATCTGGATATAATGGATATGGATATGGGTATAAACTATATACAATATTATAAGTTTATATATAGATATAAACTATATTCAATATTATAAGATTATATATAGATATAAACTATGTATAATTTTATAAGTTTATATCTAGAACGGACCATTTAAAATTAACAACGCATAAACTCATAAATCAAAATTTAATTTCAAGATTACCTTTGAGTGCCATGCAGAAAGAATAGATGATTTCATCATCAATCATATTAAGTAATGATAGTTGTTTCTAGTGATCCATGAATTAAAATGTAGCGAATTTAAGATACGTCTCATTAAATTTGGGCAAAGAATTAAAAGAAAAAATAATGATATCCACTAGAATGAATCTGATAGCTATGATATTGAATGAACTTTTCCTCGTGGACTAATGTGCATGTTTGAGTTTAAATTCAGATATGTAATTATTTTATAACATTTCTTCGGAAAGTATATGCTACATTAAGCTTATTAATTGATTCGTCCGTGACATTCTATGTTCTGCTTTATTTATATATAGAAATGAACTTAAAGAAAACAAAGATTTTTCGATTTACAACGTAAGAGTTTATTGTGTAAGGAAAAATAGATTATTTAACAATTTGCAAAGGCTCATTTTCGAGTTTAGGAACGTATCTCTATCATTGGTAAGAACATTAATTTATTCCGTCAAGTCCCTAAATAAGGCGATTATTTATGGGCTATTAAAAATAATAATACTTAAAATAATAATAAAATAATAATAAATAATAAAAATCTTCCTGATCTTATTATGCATTCTAGAATTGATTTTAAAAAAATTGCTAAAATATTGCTTCACATTTTATCCATTGTACTCTTTTTTTCTTTTATTTGTACTATTT